TCGTTACAAACAGCAAATTCGAATTAATCGATAAAATCGATTTATCGCCCAGCCCTAGGTTGAGGTGATTGTTTTATATAACAAGCAAGAAACGTCATATAATTATGACCCTTGGTGATTTATGTAAAATACTGCTAACAGTGGTTTTTATGAAAATTATGTAATGTTATGGTTTATTAAGAACTATTTCTTGTTACATAGAAATATGCACAAAAGTCTGTGCTCACCTGAAGTGATTTAACCGTACCAATAGATCTCCTGGAAGCCTGTTTATTTTTAAATTATGGTTTTGTAACCAAAACGTTACAAGGACAAATTTAGTTTATCACTTATCAAAGTAATATTTACAGTGGTTTTTACTAGTGCTTTGTTTTTTTTAAGAGCTGCGTGTTGTATATTGACTCAGACCGAAAGTATTCAACTGTTCACAGGTCTGTTCGTGTACAGGGGAAGCGACAGAAGAAGAATCAGTGCGAAGCCACCGCAGTGTTACCGGAACAGACTACAAATGCCACTCCACCACAGCTTCCAGAACAAAGCTCATCTCACTGCACCTTTTCAGTAACTGGAACATTGGAGGGAGTTGCTGATGAGGAAAAAGATGGTGATGGTGCCAGTTCTGAACTGCAATTAGGCAACCAGATGAGAGTAGAGTTTCAGGGAATGATGTCCAAAATTAGAAACTTGGAAGACTCTCTAACTGCTGCAACAATTACAGCACAGTCCTTTGAAAGTAACGTAGAGAAGGTTAAATATTACACAGGACTCCCTAGTTTTGCGACACTCTTGTCAGTTTTCACTTTAGTGGAACCATTCATTGCAGAAACAGTGAAGTGTCAGATAACAAAATTCCAGAAACTGATTTTGACCCTGATGAGGCTTCGTCTGAGTGCTCCACTCAAAGACTTGGCTTTCAGATTTAACATGTTCACGGCAGCAGCATCTAGAATTTTTTTTGCAGGTCATCCATGTTTTGTATCAGAGGATGAAAGGTCTTATTTTATGGCCTGACAGAAATGAGCTTTGCTTAACTATGCCCATGGCATTTAAAAAGCACCTTGGTTTGCGAGTTGCTATGATTATCGACTGCTTTGAGATCTTCATTGAACGACCCTCAAGTTTGCTTGCTAGAGCAGAGACTTGGTCCACGTACAAGCACCACAACACTGTGAAGTTTTTAATTGGCGTCACTCGGCAGGGCTCAGTGTCTTTCTTGTCAAAAGGTTGGAGTGGACGAGCAAGAGACAAACACATTACAGAACAGTGTGGTCTGTTAGACAATTTGGTAAATGGAGACCTTGTATTTGCTGACCGGGTCTTTGACATAGCTGAAAGTGTTGGGTTAATGTGTGCTGAAGTAAAAATTCCTGCTTTTACTAGAGGAAAAAAACAACTGTCTCCACTTGAAGTCGAGAGCACAAGGAAAATTGCTCATGTGCGTATCCATGTGGAGCGGGTAACTGGTTTTGTCAGAAATAAGTACACAATCTTACAGAGCACCATGCCTATAGAGTTCCTGCAGAATGATGGGGATGAAAGCCCACTTGTGGACCAAATTGTCACTGTGTGTTGCACACTTTCCAACCTGTGCCCATCTGTAGTGCCATTTGATTAAGTAGTGGTGAAAAAATGACAACTCTGACAGAATTGTACATTTAATATTTATGTGGAGGTTTGAATGAACTATGAAGTCTTTTAAATATGTAAAAACAAAATGTTGTTACTCATGTTTTACATTAAATTCTGTTAAAAGTATGCCTGAATTAGAGTCTTAATTTGTGTTACAGTTCTATAATGCATTAGCTTTAGCTTTCTATGGATATCACTCAAGAAAAACATTGTTTTGGTACTGTACAAATTTTACTCTTTAAAGTATGTATTTGGTTAAATAATTATTACCCCTTTACAGCTAAATAGTGTCATGATGTTGTAAAGAAACAGAAAACAATGTACATCAGTTGTAAAACTGATTGACTTGATAATCCAAAAAAATAATTATATATACCATAGACATATTCCTGAAAAATACATAATTTAGGTAACTAATCTAAACCTGACGTGTTAGTCTGTAACTTAGAATTTAGATGGTTAAGAAATGA